CTTTTAAGTGCACCCCTTCCTCAAAGGCAGTGCAAAAAGAGAATAAATGGGATTATTGTGGCCGGCGGCTCGGAGCAGTGCAGCGGGTAAACACACGCCAAGAAAATCATCTAGATAAACCAAAGGCGACGGCTAGGACAGGAGGAGCTGCGTCCAGTCCGCGGGGCAGTGGGGCCAAGCACACATCGCAAGCAGATCGCCAGGATCATCGTCGACGCAGGATTCGTCGAGCCTTCGGCATTGTGGCTGGCGAAACAGAGACAGCAGCAGCCACTGCCTGTCCACCGCCAGTGAATTCCAGCCTTCCTTTGTATTGTGTTATGTGTTTGTAACGTCGACTGGGGCCCAGGTTTTGTATAAATAAATATTTTTGTTGTTCACCGGGCTAGCAGGACAAAAAAAGCTTGAAGAACTAAAGAGGCAAACAGAACGAGATTCTGGTGTTTTCGTTAGTGACTGAATCTATCAAAATTTTTTTTAATCAATTTATCAATTTTTTGTCAGGACCAAAATTCAACAGTTCAATTTATCAATTTGTCAACTGAAGTTATCAAAAATCGAAAAAACAAAATAAAAAGAAGCAAAGAGGCAAACAGAACCTTGAAAAATTTTTTCGCATAACTGAAAAGTAACGGATAAGCAGAGAGACTATGAGCCATTGTCTGGATCATTCGAGTGCTGAATTCCAGATGTGAATGAGGTGCATCCACACGTTGAGTGCAGCTTTGGCAAATTTCTTGGCCTCGCATACCTGTTTTTATTCGCCATCCTCCACGCCTACAGCGTTCCGGTGGCCGCTTTTTCCCTGCTAATAGCATTCATTGACACAGTACGTGCGCTGGTTGCGAGAAAAGAAAACACATATCACACCAAGCAATTTGACTTCCTTATCATTAAAACATTATCACCGATCACGGAAATTCATTCCTCTGATGTTAAGCAGGGCATCTATTGAACCTAAGAAGTAATGGGATTTATAAGTGATTCTACTTCCTTGTCGATTCCTGTCTTTTCCAGGACAACGAAACTTCGTAGGTCGTTACGATATCGTGATTTTCTATGTAACGAACACAGGAGCAGTGGCTTTCTGCTACAAAATGAGAGCAATTACAATTGGCCAGTAGCATGCATGTGGACAGGTGGTGAAATGAATGCAACTTGCGGCCTGATACCACCAACCGAGAAACCGTTCGGATTTCTTGAACCACGTGAATGGCAAAAGAAGCTTTTTGTTTGTTTTTAATTTTTTTTTTTCTTTGATTTGTGCAAAATGTCAATAATTTTTGAAAAAAACTCTCAAACAGTCTTAATTTAGCTACGCTCTTCCTCTTCGGCAAAGTATGGGATTTTGCTGTTTTTCACAACTAATTATGGCTTTGTAGTAGAAAATATTTACTACTGACTTGACCTTTGAACGGGTCCCGTGTATCTTAGAAATTCACTTAAATATTAAAACTAAATTAAACTTAGACAATTATAGTTAATTCAGCTGGAACTTTGTGACTTTGTCCTTTAGCAGTGAAGCTGGCACTTTTTTCTTCAGTTGCTTTCACCAGTGCTGCTTTTGCTGGGGATCTGCTTGCTACTGATTCTCACTTTCCTTCCGCTTTCTGACTTTTTTCTGTCAAACTGTTTCGGAACTGCAGAATTCGAAAGCGCTTTATTACAGTGAGAATTCAGTTTCTTGGCGACACATCAGCTGATGCATATTATGAAAAAGTCTCCATACGCGCTGCATATCGTACTTTCTCAACTTTTAAAAGATGGACTTAGTTTCATTACTGCACATTGACAAAAGCGATTTTTGCGCCACCTAAACGGCGGTCGAGAATGGGTGTCTGCAGAAATTCATAAAATTTTTACAATTTTGTTATCAGGTCAAAAAACTGCGCAGAACTAAAAAACGTCTTCTACACCACTAA